GGAAAAATCCCATTATTTGAAATTCCATTTCCCCACAAATTTTCTAAAGTCCTTTTGCATCAAGATTGCATGAGAACAATAAAACTCGGAGCCAGGATAGTGGTTATCCCTGATTAGGGAGGAGCTTGTTTTTTCTCTTAAGCCTGGCTTATTTCATTATTCGCTTACTTTTTATATTTCTTAAAAATTTCAAAATAAAAGTAAAAAGATAATAATTAAAGGATCATGCTAGAGAGACCAATAAATAACAACCTCTGCATAAGAGTGAGGAGAAAAACATAGACTATAGAAACAAAACATTTTAACACGCATACTGTTATAACAGAAACCTTGCTTGACAATGTCGTGTCCAAAGGTTATGGCTTTTCTTTTACCTGTCTTTTGTATGTCTCCAGTTGGCCTCGAGCTGCATTGGCTTTCCTTAACTCTTCCTCTAAACTGACCGTGTTCTGCATGTGCATAGTATTCTTCTCTTCTAAGAGTTTAACCTGCCGCCTCAAATCACCAAGATCGTCTAGCTTCTTTTTATAGGAATCCACTTGACCTTCTAGTTTAGCCACTTTATCAGAAGAATGTCTGCAATGAGACAGGGAATTAGAGCTGAGAAACACACCCACAGGTGAAAAAGTGTTCCAGACTGTGCCAAACCCAGAGAGATTACCAAGAGACATGTTCTAATGATATGAGCCCCAAAGTGATTCTAGGTTAATTTCTGTGCTGGGCAAAATTATAGCTAAATGTGTCATAGGAACTGCTAAATAATGTAAGGCTATCACATAGTAGGTAGCCAGCAGAGTTCTAGGTAGCACAGAAATAGAGTATAGGCTTGTGCAGTGCCCAGATGAATTGTCCATGCCACTATGTTACCGATAACTACAGTAACCGAGTACTGGGAAAGGAGGCGGCAGTGGTAAGTTTTAGTGGACTGAGAACCAAGCCCAAGTTTGAGCTTAAGCAATGTAAATTTGTATCTAAAAAGGAGGAACGAGTAGCACATTTTTGTCTCCTTTTATATACATGAATGAAGTGAGAGAAAGGACAATTTATTTTTTAAGTTTATTATAAGTTTTAGGATAATTGATGCAACATAGTCGCTGGGTGGAGCATCGATGGAGGATTTAGCACTGGGCATGAGGAAGAACCTAACAGTTCTGCACTCAGAGCGAAAACAGAAACGATGGCTGAGAATCCAGGGGTGCTTTTAGGGGTGAAGGAGGCACCGGGTATGGAAAGTTTAACAGTCATGTCCTTTTCTGTGCAGTAAGAGACGAGGTTAGCTCCTGAGAATAAGGCATGGTGGAGGTGTGGTGGCACAGGCAGTCAGGTTAGAAGAATTATGAAAATATGTAACAGCTATGTGTGATGCAACTAACTATTGATGAACAGAATGGTAGACTAGTGTCAGGAATCCAGTAAAGAGATCAGTAATGTGCAGTAGGACAAACTATTTTATCACTATATAATTTTCTCTATTTGTTTTCAGAACAAAATTAGAAAGGGGTGGTGGTGATGAGAAAGAAAAATAGCCGCAATCATCTGAGAGGGTAACAGATGACCCAGAGGCGGAATGGTGGGAAAATGAGGTGTGAGCTTCGTGGGATGTTCCTGGATCTGGAGGTGTCTAGAGGGCTCCAAATTAAAAAACAGGTAGCCAGGATAAAAGATCCATGCTATGAGGGCAAGAAGCACCGTCAGAGATGACACATTTTATTTAAAAACACATAACACTTATTTGCCAGATGCCCTTCCAAGGCATTCCTAAAGTTTACAAATTCAATTCCTCATATAACCTGAGTTACTGCTTTACTCACAAAATAACCAGAGTATGTGAGTTGCTGATATTTCCATTTTACAGACAAGAAAAATAAAAAGCGGTTACAAGGAGGCTAGTTAAGTGATAACACAGGGTTTTGAAGCCAGGCAGTCTGGCTCTTCAGCACTATAGCTTGTACTAGTTAGTAATGGTAGAGCAGTTCTGGGCAGCAAAAGAGATGAGAAGAAGGTTTACCTAAGAACATCTATTTCATCCTTAAGAGACTGAGCTTCATCTGCCAGAGTGGTTAGTTCATCATTTTGTTGCCGAAGTTCAGAGATTTCCTTTTCTAATTCTTCACAGCGTATTCGATAATCATCTTTGGCTGCTTCTAGTCTGTAACCAAAAGCAAAAGAGATCAAGAAAGTACTACTTACTGCCTAATAATTCTCCTTAAAGGACTGAAAGAAAATAAGAATACTAAAGAATAAACCTGTCCTTTTCCCCTACTTTTGGTGCCACAAGCTATACAAATACACACTGTACATACATATACATATGTATATTATATATATAAAAGCTATATTATTCTAAAGTCTAAATTAAACTACACAAAACAAGGCAAATTCTATTATGCCATTTGCCATATTGTGCAAAAGCTTGTGGAAAATCTAAAACTAGAAAAGCCATTCCTCTATTCAGGAATTTTATATCAAATAATATTTTCCCAAAATTAACATGTTCTTTGTACAAAATTAATAAAATACATAAAAGCAAAGAAAATAAGAGTTTATTAATCCAAGTAGATAACTACCATTAACATTTGTGGAGAATACTCTCGTTTTGTTTTGTTTTTAGATTTTATTTCTTTATTTTTTAAAGTAGTTTTATTGGGGGCTCAGACAGCTCTTATCATAATCCACAGATACATCGTGTCAGGCACATTTGTACATCTGTTGCCATCATAATTTTCAAAGCATTTTCTTTCTACTTGAGCCCTTGGTATAAGCTCCTCATTTTTACTCATATATGTTTCCTTCCAAAATAGGAATAATACTGGTCCTACTCCTCTTTAATTGGATTTGTTTACTTAAAATATATGTAAAACAAACTAAAGACATACTGTCATAATAAAGATGAGGCAGAAGCTTTACATCTGATAATACTGTAACATAAAAATACTTAGATACACAAATATGTTACTGATGAAATACTTAATTGTGAAAATTAAATCATAATATTACAAGTATATACTCTGAAACAAATATAAGCATTAGATTCTATTTCATCATGAAGATTTAAGGTAATTCTAAATATTATTTCCTTAAACCATAATTTTAAAACTAGCCAATATTTATAAACAAGAGAGTAAACTCATGCTTTGATTTTAATATCCACTGATTTGTTTTCAGACTAGGAGTTCTCAAACTGGCTTCAGCATCCCATCATGCTCTGAAAATTAATGAAAATCTCAAGGACTATGTTTATATAAGAAGGCTTCAGAAAGTTTGTGGGAAAATTCCCTTACCTTTTCATTCCAGTTTCCCATGAACTTTTTGAAGACCCTGGTATTTTTCTATCAATAAATGCCTGACTGCGAACCAAAGATCTGCATTTGGAACCCACTGCAGCCCTGCAGGGAAAGGACCTGCGAGGCGTGGAAACCCTCTGAAGTAGTGCTCCTCTGCCTGTAAGGCGCCGTGACTGGGAGCTGACTCAGCAGCACACATGGTCATGTCTACAGTATCTACCATGTCAGAAATGGCAGCTGAGGAAGAACACAAACTGCTGTGCAATTCACTTGAAAAACAGCCATTAATCTTTACATTAATAATGTAATAACTAACTACGTTAATAACATGCTTAATAAAAATAACTTTTGCTTTGTTTTTTGGTAGGTTTATTGAGATAGAATTCACAGTATCATACTTCCACAGTTCAGTTGTTAAAGAGTTGTATATACATCACCACAATCAGTTCTAAACATCCTCCCCTGTATTGTATTGTATCCCCCTCCTATATTCCATTCTTTGCTCCCGTTTCCCTCCACCCTCCCGGTCCTTGTACCCCTGAGAAGCCATTTACCAGTGATTGTCTCGACACACCCCTCCCACCTGTGCTTCATACACTGGAAACATATCAAAGAAAACCAAAACTAAAATAAAAACAAAACCCACCCCCAAACAGCAAATATATTTAAAAAGAAAGGAAGAAAAGACCAACAACATTAAATAGAATAAAAGAGGAAAAAATTATTGAGAAAAAAGCAGGAAATACTGAAAACTAGAACAAATCCAAAATAGGTCAAAAGGGAGATCAAATGACCAGGCACCATTATTTTGACCTCCTTCCACCCCCCATAATTGAGTTTATAATAGCCTCTGTCTGCTAGCAAGGTTACTCATGTCCCTCAACTGGGGCCAGAGGGGATCCACCAGAGGCTTACTCTATGTGGGGACCCTGCAGATGGATGTTGGCTCCCACTGTCATTCATAGCATTCTGCAAATTAGGTGTTCACAATTTAAACTCTGATACCTTTCCCTCCTTCGTATTTGGATTTCGTTATTTATCATCTTTGGATCAGACAGATTGGTGTGCTTCTTTCATGTGGACCTAGATGGTCATTTAGATGGCTGCTATTTGAATATAAGCCTTTAAGACCTCAGACACTATTCTTTTTGATAGTCAGGTACCATCTGCTTTCTCACCACATTTTTGCTATAGTAGCCATATCTTCAGTGATCTCTTCACAAAGGTGACCGTGGAGCAGAGCCATGTCATAAGAACTAATTGTTCTTAGACGGGGCTAAAATTAAGTGTAAGTCCCAAATCCATTCACATGCCTATGGATTATGGATGTCTCTGGTTCACTTTAGAGGCCTTATTATCATTTTATGATAGAGAACACTATCAATCATCCCTCTTGGGTATAAAGTAATTCTACTGAAGGTGTCATTAATGTATCCAGTGGCATAGAATTTAATATACTACTGAGAAATGGAAGATACGTAAGTATACACAGGCTCCGAACCCAAATCCTGAGTTGTTGATTTGTGCAGATTGAACTCTTAAATGATTAAGCACTGTTTAGATTGACCACAGAGGTTGGTGACAGGGGAAAACTTCTTCCAGTCAGTTGGACAAGAAGTTGTCTTCAAAATATCCTGGCACAGAGGAGTGGGTGCTTCCAGTGCTTCATCAGCTTGTCGAAACAGTTCAGTTGGTATTCCATCGATTCCTGGAGCCTGGTTTTGCCTCATGCCTTCTGGGAGACTGAACTTTAGCATCATTGGTTCTTGCTCACATGCTACCTCCTGAAAGGATGGGATGTCTACTAGTTTACTTTGGTACAGTGACTCTGTGTATTCTTTTCATCATCTTTTAAAGCTTCCTGCATCATTTACTATTTTGCTCACAGAATATTCTAAGATTGCAACTCGAGGCTTAATTTTTTCTCGAGTTCTTTCAGTTTAAGATATACTGAGCATGCTCCTCCCTTTTGGGTTTCGATGACTTTGCACATGTCATGATCATATTTCCCATTTGTCTTCTCGAGCTTCCCCATGAATTACTGTATTAACTAATTCTATTTAAAACCTTATCATTTGATCTTCCTTTTGACCCATTTTAAATTTGTTCTACATTTTACTATTTTTTGTTTCCTTTTAAATTGAGGTTTCCTATGTTTCCAACTTTCTTATTATTGTCTTTTGTGTGTGTATATCTGTATCTGAAATCCAGGACGGATACATCTATGGGAAAAGTAAGTGGATTAATGGTTTCTTGTGGGTACTGTAGAGGAGGTTGGGTGGAAAATAGAGAGCGTTAAATAACAATGAGTACAGAAAGAAAACGCTCTAAAATTTATTTTTAATGATTGTACAACTCTTCTTGATATGACTGAATGAATTGTATGATATGCAGGATAGGTGTCAATAAAGCTGCTTTAAAAAATTAATTAAAAGAAAGAAATAGCTTGTTATTTTCATCGAGATTGAATTTACAAATCAATTTAGAGAACACTAATTTGTTTTTAATCACTTTATTGGGGCTCATACAAATCTTATCACAATCCATACATATGTCAATTGTGTAAAGCACATTTATACATTCGTTGCCCTCATCAGTCTCAAAACACTCGCTTTCCGCTTGGGCTCCTGGAATCAGCTCCTCATTTTTCTTTTTTTTTCTTCCCCTCCCTCCTTGCTCCCCCCAAGACCACTGATATTTTTATTGGATCTTTCAAGAGGGTTTAGAATTTTTCATATATTTCTTGTTAAATTTCTTCTTCGTCACTATTGTAAATGGAATTTTCATCACCATGAAATATTCTGATTACTATATATACATATGAAAGTTACTGATTTTTATGAAGCTTACAAAAATAAAATGCAATCACTGTAAATGTGTAATTCAATAAATTTTGGCAAACTTATAGTAATGTAACCATCAATAAAAATCAGTTTTAGAATACTTTTATCACCCCAAAAGTTTCCTCATGCCTTTATGGAGTCAATTCCAGCTCCACTCCTTAGCACTACTTAACTTAATCTGCATTCTGTCTATAAAAAATTTGTTCTGACAAAGCAGGTGCATAAGCAAATGTGGTAAAGAAAGCTGATGGTGGCCGGCTATCAAAAGATAGGGTCTTAAAGGTGTGAAGATAAACAAGCGCCCATCTAGCTGAGAAACAACAAAGCCCGCATGGAAGAAGCACACCAGCCTGTGTGATCATGAGGTGTCGATGAGATTAGGTATCAGGCATCAAAGACCCAGAGCAAAAAATCATAATGTGAATGGGCGGGGGAGTGGTGTGGAGTAGAGACCCAAAGCCCATCTGTAAGTAAGCAATTGAACATCCCCTTACAGAAGGGTCGTGGAGAGAAGACGGGCCAGTCAGGGTGCAATGTAGCACCAATGAAACACATAGCTTTCGTCTGGTTCTTTAATGCTTCCCCCTGCCCCTACTATGACCTTAATTTTACCTTACAAATCTGGCTAGGCCAGAGCATGTACATGGGTATAGATAAGAGCTGGAAACACAGGGAATACAGGACAGATAAACTCCTCGGGGCCAATATTGAGAGTAGCCATACCAGGGAAAGATGGGGGGAGAATGGGGGAACTGACCACAATGACCTACCTATAACCCCCTTCCAGGGTGATGGGCAACAGACAAGGGGGTGGAGGGAGACATTGGACAGTGAAAGACATGAAAAAATAATAGTAATTTGTAAATTATCATGGGTTCACGAGGGAGGGAGGAGGAGAGGGGAAAAAATGAGCTGATATCAAGGGCTCAAATAGAAAGAAAATGCTTTGAAAACGATGGTGGCAACATATGTACAAATGTGCTTGAGACAATAGATGTATGTATGGATTGTGATAAGAGTTGTGAGCCCCCAATAAAATGATTTTTAAAAATTGTGTTCTGATCATTTAAGTTGGATTATACAACACGTCATCTTGTGTCCGTGGCTTTTTTGTGTGTCGACCATAATGTTTTGGGGGCTTGTACTTGTAGAATATATGCAGAGCACTTTGAACCTTTTATTCTGAATAGTACTCAATTTCATGACTATACCATATCCTAGTCATTTATTTACTAGTTGATGGATATTTGGATCATTTCCAGTTTGAGATGATTATAAACGCGCTGCTGTTTAAGCGATTATTATCTGATCCTTCATAGAAACAGTTTCTGACTCCTGCTCTAAAAGAGGCCCCAAGAAAGGTTTATGAGTATAGAATCCGCTAAAATATTACAAGATGAAAACAGTTCTTCTATAGTCTTGATTATTTGAAGGCTATGTGAATGAAGGATAGCTTAGTAAGATATGAAAATTCTTTGTTCATACTTTTTATGTTGAATTAAAAAAAAAAGTCCAATTTATCTTGCTAGGAGCCCTGGTAACAAAGTGTCTAAAGTACTTGGCTGTTAACTGAAAGATCAGATCGGAACCCACAAGAGAAAGCTGCAGCAGTCTGCTTCCATAAAGATGATAGTATTTGAAACCTTATGAGTCAGTTTTACACTGCCCTGTCACTATGAGTTGAAAGAGACTCCACAGATTGGGGGTGTTCTTGCTCCTTGCATTTTAAGTTGTTTTTGAAAAATCAGACTCCACTTATTTGACTTTGTAAATTATTTAAACTTTTTACCTAAAGGCTTTGGAAATTTTACCTTTTTCTTTAGTGTCTCTTGTGTCTGCAACTATTTAGAAGTCTTAATATTATGTTGTTAACTTTAAAGGATAATTATGAAATTTTTAAAAATTATATTTTACTAAGTGGCCTTTTACCTGAATGTTTCTTCTTGGAGCTGTTCTAGTTGAGTTTGGAGCTGCAGGTGCCTTCTCCCTGCTGGGCTGTTAGGGTCTTCTATAGAATCAGACTGATTGAGTCTTTCCATTAAGATTTGATTCTCTGCCAACAAACTGCTTTTCTCTTCTTGCAATGCTGCAACCTGTTAGAATACAGGAAGGTAGCAGTCATTTCCTCCAATTGCAGTGACATCAGCACAATCACTTGTAACCATTCAGAATGAAAGTCTTTTAAAAGTCTGTTTTTAATGAAGTACAATTAACCTTCATTTAAAACATCTACATTATTCTGAAATACTGCATGGTCAATGCAAGTCAAAAGGGCTTCTAGAAACTTATGGAAAAGTTCCATAATCATTTAGTCCTGTTTTTTCTAAGAACTTTGAAAAAACTCATATGCAAAAGCAAGCAAGAATTCTTTTTTAAAATTAATATATGTATATATTTAAGAATTCTCTATCACATTTAAAAAAATCCTTCATCAAAGAAGACAAATGGACAACATGTAAGCATGCAAAAAGATACTCATCAGTAGCCATTATGGAAATGCAAATTGACACAGAAATTACTTAAAACTACATTCCTACTAGAATGGTTAAGAAGATTGATCCTACCCAGTGTTGGTGAAGACGTGGAACATTTCTGATTGAAATGTACAACATTTCTACTACTTTAGGAAACATACTCTTAGAAAGCTAAAGTTAGCCACTATGTCCCAGCCAGTCAACAGCTCGGTATTTAGCAAGAGAAAGAAAAGCAGTGCGCAAAAATGCAGAATGTTTATAGCCATTTTACTTGTAATAGATATAAAACCAGAAACAATTCAAATTTTCAACAAGAGGTGAGTGAGTGGATAGATTAGGGAATACGGTACTTGTACATTATTTCTAACTCCAAGTTATTGCACATTTTATTATGCTTTAGTCTTCCCAAGCTGTCGTTTGAAATTTTCTGTTTAATTCTTTTACTTGATCTTTTTTACTCCTTCCACTTATTCGAGCTACTTTATATTCAAGAGCAAGTTCCAGAGTCTCATCCAACATCCACTTTGGTCTTTTCTTCCTTCCTGGTCCTAATGACCCTTTGCTTTCTTCATGTGTGATGTTCTGGATGCCGTTTCACACTCGTCTGGTCTTTGGTCATTACTGTTAATGCATCAGATCTGTTCTTGAGATGGATGGGATGTACTCAAGGTTGTATTTCGGCTCTCATGGACTTCTTCAATTTTCAACTTCAACCTGAACTTGTATTGGAGTAACTGATGGTCTATTCCACAGTCAGTTCTTGGCCTTGTTTTGGCTGGTGACATTGAGCTTCTCTACTGTGTCTTCCTACCGACAAAGGTAACTTGATTTCTGTGTACTCCAACTATGAGGTCCATGTGTACACCTGTTTATGTTGTTAACAGGTATTTGTAATGAAGAAGTCATTGATCTTGAAAAATGCTACACTGTGATCTCCAGCTTCATTTCGATCACCAAGTTTATTTTCCAACTACTGTCTTTCCTCACTGAGGTCATCTGCATTCCCATCACTAGTTTTTATCAATGCGTCCTGTTCACATGTGATCAATTTCAGTCTGAAGAGTTTGATATGATTCTTCAATTTTTTATCACTGGTTTTAGCTGTTGGTGTGTAAGTTTGAATAATAGTATCATTAACTGGATTTCTTGTAAGGGTACACATATTATTCCATCAGAGCTTGTACTGCAAGATAGATCTTGGAATGTTATTTTGACGATGAATGCAACACCATTCCTCCTGAAATCACTGTTCCTAGCATGGTAAACCATATGACAGTATGATTCAGGATGCCAATCCTAGCTCATTTAAACTCACTGATGCCTATGATATCAATCTTTAGTTGTTCTCCTTCCTTTTTGATGATTTCTAATTTTCATAGATTCAGACTTCTGTACACTGCATGTTTTGATTATTAACGGTGTTTCCAACTGTTTCTTCTCATTTTAAGTCATGCTCCATCAGTAAGTGAAGGTCCCAAAAGCTGTGCTTCATGCTTATCAAGGTCGGTCCTATTTTGTGGTGGCAACTAATAGTCTTATTCAGAGTGCCTTCCAACCTAAAGGGGTCATCTTCTGGCTTTGTATCAGAGAGCATTGCACTGCTATTCATAAAGTTTACAATATCTAATGTCTGAAAAGTAGACCATCTCTTCCTTCATAGTCTGTCCTTAGTCTGTAAGCTCTGCTGAGATCTGTTCACCACTAGTGACCGCTGGTATGTGAAACCTGTGTGCTGTAACTTCCACAATGACAGCAACACACAGGCCACCACAGTACAACACACTGGCAGAAGAGTGGTGGATTTGTCTAATTAGAATCTCAAATTTAAAGTGTCCAAATAAATCTCCACTCCTGTAGTCTTTCCCCTTTCGGTAAACGGTAGCTCGGCCATCGTCCTTGTTCTCTCGCCCAAGAACCCACATTTACTCTGTCGGTAAATTATCACTGGCTTTACTTCCAAACATATTTTGATCAGTTCTTACTATCTCTATATCTGAATCTAAGCCAGCATAATTTCTTGCCTAATTTAACTGTTCTCCTTGATTTAGTTTATACTCCGTATAGCAGCCTACATGATCTATTAAAACAAATGTCAGATCACATGACCACATTGCTCAAAAGCATCCAAAGACTTCCCAGTCACTCAAAGGGGAAGTCTTTATACAGGCTTATAAGCTCGCTCTACCCTGGTTTCTTTTTCTATTCCCCTACACTCCCTACTTCTCTCCTCCTCATATTCTTGTTGACCTTTGAATATCAGGTACACCCTAACTTCAGGGTTTTCACACACAACTGTGGTACTTAGACTTCTTCTTTTTTAACTGGGGCTCGTACAACTCTTATCACAATCCATACATCCATCGTGTCAGGCACATTTGTTGCCATCATCATTTTCAAAACATTCTCTTTCTACTTGAGCCCTTGGTATCAGCTCATTTCCCCCCCTCCCTCACGAACCCTTGATAATATATAAATTATTATTTTTCATGTTGTACACTGTCTGATGTCTCCCTACACCCACTTTTCTGTTGTCTGTCCCTCTGGGAGGGGGTTATATATAGATCATTGTGATTAGTTCCTCCTTTCTCCCCCAACCTTTCCCTTACCCTCCTGGTATGGCTACTCTCATTATTGGTCCTGAGGGGTTTATTGATCCTGGATTCCTTGTATTTCCAGTTCTTATCTGTACCAGTTTACATCATCTGGTCTAGCCGGATTTGGAAGGTAGAACTGGGATCGTGATAGTTGGGGGGGCGGGGGCGGAGAGGGAGCATTTAGGAACTAGAAGAAAGTTAAATGTTTCATCGTTGCCATACTGCACCCTGACTAGCTCGTCTCCTCCCCGCAACCATTCAGTAAGGGGATGTCCAGTTGCCTACAGATGGGCTTTGGGTCCCCACTCCACATTCCCCCTCATTCACAATGATAGGGTCTCTTAGTTCTGGGTCTTTGATGACTTAGACTTCTCTCTATCTATAATGCCATACCTCCATAAATGTAGGCGGCATAGTCTTCTAATTTCTTAAAGACTTTAGAAAAATATCACCTTTGCAGGGGTACCTTGGTTGACTAACCAACTTAAAATTCCTTCTCCCCACTTGTATTCTTTATTCGACTTTCCTTTCTTTACTTTTTGCTAGAAGTTATCACAATATAAACTAATATAATTTTTATTTTGCTTATTGTCTTCTGCATTAGTATCTAAGTACCTTGAAAACAAAGACGCTCTACCTATTTTGGTCTGTTAATTATATCTCATTGTGTCCTAAACCCATTGTAGCTACAGCAACTAGAATGGTGGATGAGATAAGTGCTTAAAAAGTATTTACGGGATGAATGATTCTGAAATGCCAGCTCTATACTTCTTTAACTTCTGGATCCTAAAGAGGGTCAACAAAAAAGAACAAGACTCCCTACAAGATGGACTGACACCGTGGTAGAAACAATGGCCTCAAGTATAGCTATGATTGTAAAGATGATAAAGGACCAGGCAGAGTTTCATTCTGTTGTATTTGGGGTCACTGTGAGCCACAATTTAATACCAAATCAACAACTGTATACCACTGGATTTATTTCATTCATGTTTCAAATAACAAAATTAATGCTTCATATTTGTCCTTTTGGAAATGCTTTAGCTGCATCACACAAGCTCTGATATATTGTAAGACTATATTCTTACTGTCCAGTTCTCAATACACTCTAGTAATTGTTATGATTTTTCCATCAACCTATAAATTACTTAGAAGCACAGTTTTCAAATGGGATGGGTTTTTAATAACTCATCTTTTTCTTTCTGATTTCTAACTTTAGTAATACTTTGGTCGGAGAGCTTGATCTTTTTAAATCACTTTATTGGGGTCTCCTACAGCCCCCAACCCATATATACATCCATTGTGTCAAGCACATTTGTACATATGTTGCGATCATCATTTTCAAAACTTTTTCTTTCTACTTGAGCCCTTGGTGTCAGCTCATTTCCCCCCCTCCCTTCCCTCCATTCCCTCCCTCAGGAACCCTTGACAAATTACAAAAAAAGTTTTTCAGGTCTTAGCCTGACCAATGTCTCCCTTTACCCACTTTTCTGTTGTCCGTCCCTCCGGGAGGGGGTTATATGTAGATCATTATAATCAGTTCCCCCTTTCTACCCCACCTTCCTCTTACCTTCCTGGTCTGGCTACTCTCATTATTGGTCCCGAGGGGTGTATCTGTCCTGGATTCCCTGTGCTTCCAAGAGAGCATGATCTTGATGATCCAGATTCTCTGAATTGTATTGAGGACTACTTTATAACCTTGTATATGGTCAAATTGTAAGCAGATTTACAAATTTAATACTAGAATTATCAGGCTAGCAAATGATGCTGAAATAATTATTTATATGCCAAGAAAATGACTAGTTAAAAACAATAACCATGATTTATTTAAAATAAATAAAACAAGGCAAAGGGCTTATAATGAAAAGCTATAGTTTCCTATTGAGCTTTTCCATTCCCAAAAGAAAGTTCTAACTGTACCTAATTTTACTTTTGTTGTTAATTCGTATGTCTAGATAAAGTTATATACTATTATTCCTCAAGTATACAGTTGATTCTCTCCTCTAAATTCTAGTAATGTGCACCACTCCCCCTCCCTCCATATACAGTTAGAGCACAATTCTCACTTTCTTCCCTGGTCACTTTTGAATTTTAACAACTATGGGTTGATTCATAGTATTCAACCACCACCCATTCATCCACCCACTCAAATGTACATTGTGTGTCTACTACGTGATACGCAGTGGTGAAATTTCTCGATACAACAAATACAGTTATGGACATAGCAAGGAAATTCCTTATTCTTATGCATTCAAAACAAATAATAATAAATACATAAAAGAAATAACTCATATATATAACAAAAAATCATAAATATGCTCAAGAAGCAGACTGGGAAATGCTATGCAGAGGGTTAAAACAGCAGGTGGGACTAGGTCATTCTTCTGCTTCCCTGGCCCTGGCAGGTCTTTGCAGGGAGGCCTAAAATAGTGCCGGGTACATCTAAGTGTCCAATAAATAGTTTAAGGCTAAATAAAACAGATGATTTTGAGCCAAGATTAGAGAATAAAAAAGAAGGCAGTCATGTAATGATTGCTACACCACAGAAGAGAAAAGTGGTTGTGGACACTGACGTCGTCAGGTTAGTGAGTGGCTGTACCCCTCCCACCTCTCCCACCCGACTTCTCAACCTCTCCATCCGGGTATTTACTTCATGATAAAAGTCCTGAACATTGGAAATAAAGCTGACATGATTTCACTAGAGCTCACGTATTGTGACAGTGCCCGTACTTTCCTGCAGAGCCAAGTGTGCGTTTGGACTTCACCTTCTCTTTTCGTAATCACTCTGCAACTGTACCACTCATTTTGCAATCTGTCTACACCAGAGCCTGGCAAACCATTTCGTAAATTACTCGGTAAAAAACATCTTGGACTTTGAGAGCCATAGGCCTCTGTTGGCAACTACTCAGCTCTAAAGGTGTAGCATGAAAGCAGCCACAGAGAACATGTAATAAGTGAGCATGGTGTGTGTCAATGAACCACTATTACAATAATAGATGTCAATTCTTAGTCATCAACCCTGTATCAACCCATTATTTACAAAAACAGATGCCACATCTTAGTTATCAATCTTTAATTTATTAAAGATTTTATTAAAAAAGAATATATCTTGCTCATAAAAATCAACTCCTATTTTTATTATTATAACACTTGTCAATTGTCTATAGTTCAATTCTACCATTTCAAAAGCAACAGTACTTACATTATGACTATGTAAATATTACTACAGACCCCCAAAATATGCTATAATTGTACCTTCTTCTTTATACATATACTGTAATAATCAACTCCTAGGCCTTTCAAAGTGGAATGCTCCTAGCATAAAATGTTATGAATTCCTTATATATATATACCCATCATCCAGCTTTAATGAGTATGAAAACTGAGCCAATTATTTGTAGCTTCACTCACCCCTTACTTTGATGTAAATATCTGATAACCTTTACTCTCTGATTTTTGTATTTGTGAGATTTTCTTTGTTCATCCTTAATATTATATTGAAATTATTAGGGCAGTTCTATTATTTATGTTCCTTGATGTCTCATTTTCACTGTTGCATCTTGTCCTTACAGATACAACATCATAACTCATTTCACCAAGGGCGTTAACTAGATCAATGCATTTACTTCTCCAAATTTCTCCACCTTTCCCCAAAACTCACTGCCATCAAGTAGAGGCAGACGCACAGAAAGCCTATAGGATGGGGTAAAACTGCCCCCGTGGGTTTCTGAGACTAATTCTTTACCTGAATAGAAAGCCTCATCTTTCTCCCTTGGAGCAGCTGGTGATTTTGAACTGTTGAACTTGCAGTTAGCAGCCCAAAGTGTAACCACTATGCTACCACAGCTGAAAATTGACTACAGGGTACCCAACAACAGTAATAAGGGTAACTGGAAGTTCTACATTTATGGGTCTCGCTTTAAGGTTTATCCACAAGAGGGAGGGGAAAAAATGAGGACCTAATGTTGGGGGTTTAAGTGGGGAGAAAATGTTTTGAGAAACGATGTACAAATGCGCTTTACACAATTGATGTGTGTATGGATTGGGATAACAGTTGTATGAGCCCCTAATAAAATGTTTAAAAAAAAAAAAAAAAGGTTTATCCACAAGACACTTGCCTTTATCTACATTAGGGGACCCCAAACTGCCAAAATGAAAAGGACCTTAGTCTGAGATACTAAGAAGACCTTAGTACTTTTAATTCTTCTTTTCTTTTCAACTGCTCTTTATAAGACTCCTGGTTAGAGCTTCGCTTCAGCCTTCTATCACACCTGTGGCCTGTATGGGGTTTTGCTTCAGCATCTCTCGCCACCAGCACAAGTGTGTTTAGCCATCTTAGTCCTTGTTCCTGTTAGCCCTACAGCACCTTTCTAATTGCACTTCGGAGGTGAATGTTAAATATTCAGGAGCTGGCTATCAAACTATTAATTTGTAATGGTCTGTAACTTGAAAACGGCCACTGTGAGAGTACTTATACTATGGAAATTAGCAGACACTATTAAATCAGGGTGCTGGTTTACTTTTAAATCACTCCCAGGCCTCTGGATAATTAGTTTACCAGCACACCACAAAGACTCGCATTATTTTCTGGTGGGTTTAATATAATTTAATGTGGTCAAAGGAAGAAATGCTATTATGGTAATTTCTTGGCTCAGTCTATTATCTTTAACCATAAATTTCTTTTTTTCCTTCTTCACTTAGGGTTTGTTATTGTCAAATTGCACTATACAGCAGTATTTCTTACCTGCATATCCAATTCATGGCATCTCTGAGCAATTTCTTCCTTTGCTGACAAAGCCTCATTAAGCTCCTCTGTTGTTTTCTTCAACTGGTTAGAAACAAAGACATACAGTAAATGCCTCAATAAGTGGCAACCCTTAATAATTTAATTATATATGTACAAAACCGAACTACAACATTTTTACACACAGGACTCACTTTTACCCCCTTTTACTTTTTAGGGTGGCGGGGGATAGAGATCAAGAATCCTTCAGCTAGAGTCAAAAGGAGGCTCTCATAATTTTGATTTCGTTTAGTCCTAAATTTTGTCTATTTTGACCTGTGAACTCTGTGCTTTTCTCTCAATCAAACTTTATTACATATCTGTTTGGCCAAGGCTAGTTGGCAATGTTCTTGGTAATAGATTCTATATGAGACAAAGTAAAATCTGTGCTAAAAGAATAAGGGCTTTGATCGTTAAACTATATGGCTGGAGCATTTTCAATACAAGCTTTTAAATCATATTGTCTTTTTGCTAATTTGCATATCATCATTTTACATATCAAATATTTCTATTCTAATTCCCAACATGAACCAATAAACATGCTTGTGTTGTCATTTACAATTGCTTTATAAACTCTAAGTGGAGTATGGAATCTATTTAAAATAAAGTTTTACTCTCTTCATGTGATCAAACACCTGTATAATATAGACATTAAAATCTAACTTTACCTTTAAACAACTATAAACTCAAACACCACAATATAAAAGAAAGATAAACTACAACTTGTGCTAAAATTATAGCACATCCAAAGATGTTTCTGGAAAACAACTTAGAAACCACAGGGCAAGAAATGAGAAGACAAAGAACACCAAGATTTCTGTTCATGCCTGGGACCAGATGTCCCAAGGTAGCTTGACCATAAAAACTGACAATGTAACAATAATATTTTATTAAGAAGTAATGAAATCCTATTTCTTGAATCATCACAATACACTGCAGGGTTTCTTTAAAAGTACAGTTGCCCCTTTAGGGCATTTAAATATCTACCGACAGATGAACCATTGCTTCAGAAGATGAAGAGAAGGGTAAAAGGGGCACTTCCAACAGAACAATGTGGTGGTGGTTGTGGTTCAGGAAGGAGGTAAAATCTTTTGTCATTAAAAAAAATTACATGCTGTTTTTACATGCATTTAAAAATTATATGCATATATTATGTTAAGTGTGATATCTAAAAACCACCTGTTGGAAAAGTAGTGGCAAGAATAGAAGACACAATACGTTAAAGAAGTTAATTTTTTAAATTGGTTTATAAAACATGTTTATATTTAATTACAAACGCATAATATCCACTTGCAAAATGGTGTTTATAAATTTTGTATAAACCAGTGTTTTTGAAAATTATGCCAATATAAATCATAAGAAATTTCACCTGTAATATTCTTTGCATTAATACATAAAATCTAACCCTTTTAACCTACACATGAACACAAACCACTTAAATTAGATACCTGACGATCCAGGTCAACATAGGCATCGTTTCCAACAGAGACAGGGGCTTCTTTACTCATCAACTGAAATCAAGATTTAAATGATTTTAACTACCAAGCAAAAACAGTCATCCTGCATAATAAACTTACATAGCAAACATGAAATACCCAGTCAGTACTTTTATCAAAATTAGGATGAAAGCAAATGCAAAAGAGTATTTCCTATTTAAGCCATCTTAAACCTTTATGTTAATTTGCATATCACCACTTAAAAATATTTTCATCATTCTGATTCTCAACATGAACCAGGTCTTCTGGCATTGTCTCCCATTGCTATATAAACTAAGTTAGTACAATATGAAAACAAGTGGATTAAGAGAACATTTTACTCTCTTCCTTCCAATTCAGTCTGGAACTCTTTTTTTCCCTGCCAGGACAATGCCTTCATTTACAAACAGGGATTGAAAATCCGGTACTCATGTTTACTGTAAGCACAGTTGTAAGATCTTAGCTTCATTTATTCTTCTCACCCTAGCCCCCAAATGTGTCTTAATTATTAAACTAATACATGGCTAAATATTAAAAATCTGACTTTTTGTTAAAAATGTCAACACGAAGTACGTATGTATTTCTAAAGAACAAACATAAAGACATAAGTATCAGCTAATGTTAATTGCCTGTTTAGTGATGACACTCTCACACATGAAAGTCTAATCCTCTCTCAGCCTTGTGTTGTAAAGAGAGAAGATCCAAAGGGGATGTGTAGGGGTGGGAGGAGAAGGGGACAGAATTCAGATGTGACAACTATCAAGGGCAGACTCAAACGGTCCCAATCGTCTACTACTTCCTTCGAGCTGAAGGGGAAGAGCGAGAAGGTGGAATGTCTTACTGCGCCAGGTTGTGACTTCAGCCTTTGCTCTCCTAAAATCTGAAATGTCATGTTTTCCTGTATCTTTCTATGTCAGCCAGTCTTTGCACAGCGGTACAGATGGGAACTGGAAACGCAGGGAATCTACAACAGATGAATCCCTCAGGCCTAGGGGTGACAGTGGCGATACCAGGAGGGAAGTGGGGGTAGAAAGGGGGAATTGATCACAGGGATCTACATATAACCTCTTCTCTGGGGGATGGGCAGCAGAGGGGTGGGTGAAGGGAGACGCCGGGGAGTGTAAGATAAGATATAATAATAATTTATAAATTATTAAGGGTTCATGGGGGGGGGGGGAGGGAAGGGAAGGGGGAAAAAGGAAAATGAGCAGATTCCGGGAACCCAAGAGGAAAGCGAATTTTGGGAATGATGAGGGCAACAAATGTATAGGTGTGCTTTACACAATTGATCTATGTATTGTGGTGAATTGTATACGCCCCAATAAAATGATTTTTAAAAAAGTGAGGTTCCCATACCAACACCAGTAGCACTGTCCAGGAACTTTCAGAAATGCAAATCTTGGGCTGCAGCCCAGAATTGCTGAGTCAGAGTCTGGAGTTGGGCCCCACCAATGTGTTTAACCAATTAGTTTAGTGCCACGGAATAGGAAAGCACTGAGCAGAGTTCAAAGCACAATAACCGGAAAAACCAAACTCACTGCCATCGAGTCGATGCTGACTCGCAGTGATCTGACAAGACAAAGTGGAACTGCCCCGTGAGTCTCCGAGATGGTATCTATTTTAGGGAGTATAAAGCCCCATCTTTCTCCCTTGGAGTAGCAGGTGGTTTCGAACTGCTGATCTGTGGTTAGCAGCCCAAAGCATAGCCACTAGGACACCAGAGCTCCGAAAGCACAATAAGTTTGTGTGTGTGTGTGTGTGTGTGTGTGTGTGTGTAGGGGGGTAATTCATGGGAGAGTAAAATAATACTGCCTTCAGTTCTCATGCTTTTGTAGTGAGAATATTAATAAAAAGATTAAAAAGAAAAACTTTCTTCCCGTTGGAAAAATAGTATCCACTGCAGAAAAGAAACCACAAGTGCCACAGGATATGGGAATACGCTGCTGGAAAAAGGGTACCAAGACCTGCTCAACACAATTTGGCACAACATTCCATTTGTAAAAAGTGCAGTATCTGCAAAGTAAAAGATGGCTGTAGATTTGTCCCTTGACACTCCTGGGGTTGTTAGGCGCCAGTGTTCCATTTATCATTGCTTTTCATAGTCCTCCACCATTACATTCTCTCTATTCCTTTGCAAAAATACCTACTGGTTTTGTCAGTTTAACCTTTGCTCCTCTTTCTGATTCTGAACAATAGCTTGTCCTTGATTCATCGTTTATTTAATCAATTTGTTCTAGCCTAGAATCAATCTCTAGCTCAATAGTACCAACTCTATTCTTACCTCATTACTTCTTCCTAGCAAAATTTCAATCCGACTAGCTATCTCTTCTGGCCTTAAAACCAATCAAGCGAGTACATTAGAAAAAAAACAAAACAAAACAAAAACAAATGCTAAACCGCTATCACTACTAAAAGATAACTTCCAATTGCAACAGGACTTCAAATCTGCCCAAAAGGTATACTTATGCTTAACTACTCATTAGTCTCTTTTATTCTTTAGAAATTATTCTCAACACTTCTCAAACCTCAATCATCCACAACATTATCAGAAAACCTTACTTTCAGGTAGAATTTCTCCAATTCCCTATACCCTAACCCACTAAACTGACAACATACATGTCCAGCCTCTCTGTCTTTGTTCCCGGTACAATCCAGGGTCAGTCTTCTTGTCCAATTCTAAACCCTTCATTTATGCTCTCAGCTCCATCTTCCCACCTTCCCATGGGCCCTGTTCCATTTGTCAGCAATCTTCTCATTTGCTATATCTCAATTTCTCATTCTTGTGGTTTCTTTCTATTAGCGCATAAGTAGTCAAAAGACTATCACAAGCAAGAGTATAAAAAATATGCTCAGTATCATTAGGCATTCATTAGGGAACACAAATGAAAACCACAATGAAATATTACTTCACACTCACTAGACTGATAACAACTTCAAAATGGTACACTGCAAGCACTGGGAGGCTATGGAAAAACCAGCATCCTCGCACATTGCTAGTGGGAAATGGTGCAGCTGCTGCTGTGGCAAAGGGACTGGCGGTTTCTCAGGAATTTAAACATAGTTATGATATGATGTAGCAATTCTACTCCTGCATATATGTGCTAATGAAGAGGTGCGCAAACAAAAACTCCAAGGAGCACTAGTCACCACAGCTAAAATGTGGAACCAACCCAAATGCCCATCAACTGTTACACTGATAAACTGTAGTCAATGTGCACAACAGGTCATTATTTAACCGTGATAAGGATGAGGTGCTCATATATGCTATTACCTGATTAAGTCGAAGTCGTCAGCTACAAAAGGTTATAAATCGCATAATTCTATTTATATGAATTATCCAGAAGGTATTAGTGGTTACCAGGGGGTGGGAGGATGGGAGCGAGGAGTAACTGCTTAATGAGAATAGGTTATCTTTTTTGGGGGATGATGAAAACCTTCTGAAACTAAATAGTGGTTACAATTTAGTACTACATTGTACTAAATATAATTGGTGGTCAATTTCGTGTTATATGTATTTTATACCACCCTCCATATACACACTAACTTAAAGTGCTTATATAAAGACCTGTAGATTCCTTAAAAACACAAAACCACTATCATCTTACAAAAGCCCTTCTTAAATCCATAAACCTCTCTAGTCACCCCTCGATTGCCAAGGTCCAATCAATCACCAACCCTGTTGATTCCAGCGCTGATAACATTAAATCTGACCATTTCCCTCCAGCCTATCAGATAATCTACCTGAGGTCGCCACCATTCTTCCCTGGGTTACGGTCTGTTAGCTGTTCTCTTCTCACCGTATTTTCCTACAATTCATGGTTCCACTGCACGGACTTTCTTCAATAATATTTTTCTCAATGTGTTTTCTCCTTAAAAGTCTTCATTGGTTTCCAAAATTACTGTAAGGTTGGTAGCCCTGAGAACTCCCCCACCCCTTTTTTTTTTGAGAACTCCTTTTTTAATGTAGCATTAAATGTATTATGGGTGTATTCCTGCTCCTACCAGGAATAAGGAACGGCTATTTCCATACGCAAGAAAATTCCTTTTCTTTTAACAATGTTCCAGTGATTGTATGCCTCCAGTTTCATCTCTAAGTAATTCTGAGCTCAGTGACTGTTACAGGCACTTCTTCTAAGACCCCCAACAAGCCACACAGGGTTCGCTTCTCACTTATCTCTTGCCTTTCCCTTCCCTCCTAAGTCACCCGTCAGTGCTCAGCCTCTAATTCATTTCTTCTGAGAAGTCTTCCCTAGTGGAGTGAGACCCTTTCTTCAGGTGTTTCTGTATTTTTCCTATCATGGCACTTTTCTTTTTTTAAATCATTTTATTGGGGGCTCGTACAACTCTTTTCACAATCCATACATACACCCATTGTGTCAAGCACATTTCTACATTTGTTGTCATCATTTTCTTTTCTTTTTCTCCCACTATTTATTTATTTTAATCGTTTTATTAGGGGTTCATACAACTCTTATCACAATCCATACATACACCAATTGTGTAAATAGCACATTTGTACATTCATTGCCCTCATCATTCTCAAAACATTTGCTCTCCACTTAAGCCCCTGGCATCAGCTCATTTTTTTCTCCCCCCTCCCCCTCCCCCTCCCTCATGAGCCCTTGATAATTTATAAATTATTATTTTGTCATATCTTGCCCTGTCCGATGTCTCCCTTCACCCACTTTTCTGTTGTCCATCCCCCAGGGAGCAGGTCACATGTAGATCCTTGTAATCAGTTCCCCCTTTCCAACCCACCCTCCCTCTATGTTCCCAGTATAGTCATGGCACGTTTCATAATGGATTTGAATTGCTTATTTTGCAATGTTCTCTATGAGACATATGTTTTGTGAGGCAAAAGACCATACCTATCATTTTTCTTCAAATAGTTTTATTGATGTTTATGTCACATAGCATACAACTTAATAGTTCAACTGTATTACGAAGAGTTGGGCAATTATTACCACAATCAATTTCAGAACATTTTCTTCTTTTTGTATTTGCTGTTCGCTCCCCATTTGCCCCACTATCTATCTTTTTCAAGGTGTATCCTTCTGCCTACTACAGAGCCTGGTGCATTTAAAAACAATCAACCAACCAACCAATCAAATAAACACACAAATTCACTGCCATCAGGTCATTTCTGTCTCATAGCAACCCCACAGGACAGAGCACAAACGCCCCTGAGGGCTTCCAAAACTGTTAAGGAGTAGGAAACCTACACTTCCTCCTTTGGAGTGGCTGGTGGCTTCAAACTGCTGACCTTACTGTTTGGACCTTGCAGTCCAACGCCTAACCCACGACACATCACCAGAGCTGGTAAACATGAGACGTTAAATATTGTTTAAAGCAGGGGTCCTCAAACGGTGGCTCACGGGCCACATGCGGCCCACCGAGGACATTTATCTGGCCCTCTGGGTGTTTTTCCCCCTTTTGTTTTTTTACTTCAAAATAAGATATGTGCAGCATGCATAGGAATTTGTTCAGGTTTTTTTTAAACTACAGTCTGGCCCTTCAGCGGGTCTGTGAACTGGCTCCCTGTTTAAAAAGTTTGAGGACCCCTGGTTTAAAGAAAGAAAATGTTAGGATATCTATCTATCTATCTATCAATATCACAATTTTGTTAAATACTTTAAACGATTTTTTTAAGCAACATTTCATTGGTTATAGAGTATTCCAAAAAGTTCTGGTGGCACCATGGTTGATGCGGGCAGTGGTGCACTGCAGAGTCGCAGCCTGATCCGCGCAGCTGCTCTGTGGTGGAAAACCACGGTGTTCTCCTCCATGAAGACTGGCGGCCCCAGAATCCACCACAGCAATTCTACTTTGTCCTGCAGGTCACTACCCTGTCTCCCCGAAAGTAAGACAGCCCCCCAAAATAAGACATACTTACAGTTTGTCTCTTGCTGAAATATAAGGCACCTCCCCGGAAAATAAGACCTCCCTGAAAATAAGGCCCCCTGAAGCTACCATAACTCTGGACTCTGGACCGTAGCAGCAGGCGCTGCCATGCAGCTCACTGTTGGCCGCTGCGCAGCCAGAGCAGACAGGAAGCGTGAGGTCTCTTTTAATAAAACAAGAAACAATAAATGTGTACCATATTCTTCTTCATGGAAAAATAAGACATCCCCTGAAAATAAGACCTAGTGCATCTTTGGGGGCAAAAATTAATATAAGACACTGTCTTATTTTGGGGGAAACAGGGTAGAAGTCAAAGTCAATTTGATGGCAATTGGTTTGATTTTTAAATTTTACTTCTGGGTTTACAGCATTCGACTGTATGAAGGCATTATATTAAACACTTGCTTACTGATGAATACTTGTCACATTTCTGTTAATAAAGTTTGTTAAAAGTATTATGTTCAATCTTTTCCTGAATTTCTAAAAAATTCCTAGGGAAAGATTCATAGAAAGAATTACTCAGTTATAAAATATAATTTAAAACTATTTTTCTGTGTTCATGTCATAGTTGTTATTATATAGAAACTGATAAACATGAAGGAGCTTAAAAAAGTTTGTGGAAAAATGGATGTGAAAGAGTAAGATTTTCCCATGAACTTTTTGAAGCGCTCCCTGAAAGAAAAGCATAAATACATTCCAATCATCTGGAAGAGTACATTTTGGCAAACTTAATCAATCAGGTTAATTAAAATAAAACAAAACAAAACAAAAACTGGAAATGAGATTATACTGCTCAAGGGCTTTGTACCTTACCTTAAGAAAAAAAAAAAAAAGCTTAATACAGTGTAAGCTTTTCCTTGACATTAAAATTTTCAAGAATATGCTTTTAACCCTTACATAGTATTCTAATATACTACTATAACCTAACTTATTTATCCATTTCCTAAGATACTACTTCTAGTATTTTAGTACTAAAAAGTAATGCAACCCGAGGCAACCCAGCCAACGGCAGGGTTAAGGGTACGGCTGAGTCAGACTGCTTCTGCAGACCCCCTCTTTGTGACTTAGCCATGACTGCTCCCTCGTTTACAGAAGAGGGACCAGAGCTGTGTGAACCTCACAGGATTTTAAAGGACTTACACATGTAATGTGCTTAGTATCTTTACATTTCAGACTTCTTGGGGGTAAATTTCTAAAAGTAGAATTACAAGATAAGTTATATAGGCAAGACAGAATTTTTAATGGTCTCTTATTTAGTAACAAACAAACAAGCCATGGATTTGATTCTAACTCATAGCGACCCTCTAATAGAATCCTCAAATTTTGGCTGGGCCTGGGACCACCTGGAATAAAGACTGTATTTCCCAGTCTCCCTGTTAGGATGTGGGAGCAAATTCTGGCTAATGAAAGTGGGGGTTCCGGAAAGTTTCTTCACAGCAAAGAGATAACCCTTCTTCAACTCTTGCTCGTAGCTGGAAATGGGAATGTGATAGCTCGGCTGAGTCGCCACTAGTGAACCACCCTCTGCACGGACCACACGGAAGTCGGCAGTGCCACAGACAGGAGAGCACCGCCCTGTCCAGAGGTCACACCTGCGGTTTTGTTGTGTCCACACAGTCCCGGCAGTCGGAGCTCACCTGATGCCACCTAACAACATTATCATGAGCTCATTAGCTCCCTTACTTTTTCACAAACTGTCAGCACACAGAGTTCAAGCTCACCTCTTGAATGGCAGTCATGACAACGTGTTGTACAGATTCCTCCATCATCATTATGGCCTGGATGTACTCTGAAAACAAGAATAATCTGGAATGTCACTGTTCACGTTAAAAACAGTCGAGGGAGTAAAGGTCAACACTTCACAAATTCTACCATTTCTTGTGTGGATTCCTCCTAGCCGAGGAAACCCTCCCCTGGTTATGATTGACGTGCCCCAGGCAGAAAGCCGCACGATCTGTCTTTCCTTAGAAGATTCTCCCCTCGTTATTCCAAATTAATTAAGTGGAGGCCACCGTTCAAGGTGAGGACACAGTTTATCAGCAAGCACATGTGCCAAAGTAAAAAATAAAGAAAACCTAAAAAATGTCTCCACATTATTTTTTGCTACCCTAAAATGTCTGAAATGTGGCAAGCGAATTTTGGGAATGATGAAGGCAACAAATGTATAGATGTGCTCTACACAATTGATCTATGTATTGTGATAAATTTTATGAGCCCCAATAAATTCATTTTCAAAAAAAGTCTGAAATCTTTATTCTTATCTGAAATTAAAACATTGAATTGTGTATAATGGCTTCTATAGTATTTCTTTTTTTTTTTTTGAAATTATTTTTAAATTACTTTAAAAGATCATTTTATTGGGCACTCTTACAGCTCTAAAAACAGTCCATATAGCAATTACATTTGTATATATGTTTCCGTCATCATTTTCTAAACATTTACTTTCTATTTGAGCCCTTGGTTTCAGCTCCTCTTTCTGATATAGTATTTCTTACTACCAAAAAAAACCTTGAAGAATTTGATGACCATTTATAAAAAATTACAATTAATTTAGGCTACAGGTTGATACTAGGTCAAATAAACCCTGGTCCACATTTCTAATAAGCTCAAGCATCAGCATCAATCTCTGTCTCATCACTGTCCAAAAGGAGAACTGCTTAGCTGTTCAAAGTAATAAAGTTGAAAATAGATTTCTTGCCTTCTGAAAAAACCCTGCACGCAGTTTTCAGTATTTTCAAACCCAATAATGGATGACAAGAGTGGCAGTAAGCTTAAAAAAAAAAATCAGTAGGCTTGCTTGATTCCAACATAAGAAACATTAAAAAGATTCTACAGGAATAAGTACAAATTAGCCTCAACTTACCCTAGTAACCAGAAACTTCCAAAAAGCAAAAAGTCAAATCAAGATAAAATCATACCACCATAATAAAATTATCCAAAAATTGAGCCAAAACAATGTTGCCCCTCTTCTAAGTATTATATGTAAAGAAGTCTTGCTATAAACTATCAAGGACTCTTTTGGTATGTACTCAGAATCCAAAACTGAAATCTATTACCCTATAGTTATTCCACCCCCATCCCCGCTACAAAAGTACCTTTGCACTAGTGTTACATTTTAAAATTAATACCAAAGCTTTCAGTTTATTGAAAACAAGTTTTTAAGGAACTTTTGACCTAAGCGTGATGATGGGTCCATACATGCATATATACACTACATGTATATAAACTACAGGCATTGTTCGTGGGCTGACATATTCTTAGGAATATAACTTACTTGGTTAAAAAAATAAATTAAATAATTCTTTTAGTCTATGCTCAATTTTCTTTGTGGGGTGGGGTGGAATGGGGGTTTGGCTTTGTTTTGTTAATAAGGAATACAACTAGGGAATTATTTCGGACATTCTGTTCAAAGATATCAAACACAGAATTGGAAGGCTATGGAGAACATGGCATAGCTAGAATGACCAGATAGCCCTCAAAATAAAGAATGACTATGACAGAGAAGAAGCAGTGGCACTGATAATGGGGAGGGGGAACGATGACAGACAGCTTGCTGGAAGTGGAGGAATAACAGTGGGGTAGAGAGGGTAAGCAGTCAGTTAGTGAGGTGTGAGAGGGGAAGCGTTAGTTAAGAAGCGGTGTTGCCACGTCAAGGCCCTTCCCCGCGAACACCGTAAAATGCGAGATGATAAGATGATGATGAGAACTACTTTAATGTACATTTTTTTTCAGAGAAGTCTGTTAAGTGTAAAACACAGGTATGCATGATTACTGGGTGCCTATCTATTAGGCAATGCTGGAGACTAAAGTGTGCTAGGGAAAGGAGTTTATCTGGAAAATTTAGCTTTTGGGACCCACATTTAAAATACGGATTAGTTGTACAAAGAACACCACGTTCAAATGTGGAGGGAGACATGGTTTTTGTCCCTGTCCAGCCTTTCACAAGTAAAACATCTTGGACAAGTCACATAATCCTTTTGAGCTGTAGCTTTCTAATTTGTAAAAAGCAGTTTGGGTTCTGTTGGTACCTAGTAGAGTACCAAGCAAAAGAGAGATGCTAAGTAATTAATAGTGTGTCTTCTGTTGTTAATTCTGTGTGGTTTGCTTTCCCCCCCCTAATTCACCACCATTTATTTACCCTATTTTGAGAAGTTCAAGAATCAAGATAAGTAATACTGAGTCAATATGTTGGATATGTGCCTTACTTTTTCTAATTAAAAAAAAAAGTAAACACAGAACCCTTTTTATTTGTATAGTGCTTTATAGGTCAGAAAGTAAATATGCAAA